CAGCGGCCGCCCAGACATGTAAGTAGCGCCTCTCAACTCAACTTTGACCCCAACCCTTCCGCCTTTCTCTCTATCTTGGTGGTGGTGAGTCAGTAACACACGGAGACAAACGTCAGACAGAACAACTCCATTTTTAATCTTTCAAATTAATTCTCCTTCTAAACAGAGCATGCTGTTGTTATTAACACAACTTGAAAGCTTTAGTTTGAAAAGGAGCCAGAAAAATAACTGGAAGAATCATAATAGATAAAAGTTTGAAAGTTTCATTATCTTGTAATTTTTTCTTCTAGCACATTATTGAATTTTTTTTTTTAGTTGAAATTTCTTTAAAAAAATTTACCTAACAATATAAAAGAGACAGTTTGAAAATATAAGCTTTAAAGGAATAATTAAAAAAAATTTATATATACATATTTTATAAAAACTTGCTCTTGTATTAATTTAAATTTAGTGAATTTCCGATTTTATTTGGAATAAAATTAAAAAATCCGCTTCGTTTTTTTTTTTTAAATATATTTCAATGAAATTTATATTATTCAAATTGAGAAATACGAATTTGACACTTCTTGTTGACATTTATGTTGAAACTCCAACTGAACCGGAAATTGAATCACAGCGTGGTGCTTGCCACCCGAATCCAAGTTCGTATTTCTGACATTTGCGACTAGCCAAAAGCGCACGCAAATAATAAACAGATCGTTTGCACCAAAGCGACGACAAATTAGTCATTTCACACGCGAGTCCAGCGTCTCCATCAAAACCGGGCACTTGTCACCTCATTAACTTGCGCGAATTCGGCGAGCGCGGATTTTGTCGCACATTCCTTGGCATCGGCGCCAAATAATCTCGGCCGACTTTTGCGAAAAAAAAAATTTGAAAGCTCGCAACGGTTTGTTTGGCACTTCCGATTATCTGCGAAAACACTCTGGCGAAAAGAAGTCGGGTTGATACTGGCAAGCCAAGCCATCAGGGGTCCCTGTTTGTTATCTGCACCACCTCTACTTGCCATTCCGAAATTTATAGTTAGCGGCGTCGTTCGCTTCTAAATCGGCGCTGACGTCACTCGGGGGCTTTGAATTGAATCAGATGGCGCCTCTTTGAGCAGAGAAATCGACGGTGCTGCTGTTTCTGAATCAAGAGAAAAATCCGTCTCGGCGCTGCCGCCCCTCGAACCCCTTTTTCGAAAATCTAAAAATGGAAATTGCTTTGCGGAAGGAAGGGGGCGCCGCCAGAGTGGCTTGCCGGCCGCCGTCGCCTCGCTACTTGTTTTAATCCCTTACCCGAGCGAGCTGCTCGCAGTGCCGCCGCGTGACATTTTCCGTCCAGATGACACCTTTGTGAAGCACCAACCGAACTACGAACTTCTTGGGATCCGTGTTCGCAGGTACGAAACCAAACGCGACGAGCGTCCAGCGAGCCAGCGAAAAACATCCGTTTTTTAAAAAAAAATTAATTGCTTCTGTCACTCGGAATTGCGCCGGTCGCACTTAGTGGAGCGACGAGCTCGTAAATCACGCAATTAAGCAATGCATACTTGTTTTCGTGAAAGAGGCCGGTGTTTGTTTCTTTTTTCAATTGCCTTGTTTGGTTCTCTAAAGAATGCGTTTAATTTGATTTTTTATGGGAGCTGTCTTTTTAATTTAATTCAAGCGTTTAATTTTAGACCTTGTTTAAACATTCCTCTCAAGATTTCAACAGTTAAATCATAACAAAAAAAAATAATTCATTTCATAACTGAAATTACAAACAATTTGGGAACAGAAAAATCAAATTTATTAATAAATTTCGTTTTAATTTTGTGAATTAATTGGAAGTGTTGCAAGTGAGATGGAAATGAGCGTTTGATCTGTCAAATTGGCAGTCTCGTTCTAGTTACGTTGTGGCAATTGGCGGTCCAATGTCACTCGCGCGGCCGGGGATGTGGTAAACAATGAGTGTGCCGAGGGCGAATTCGGCCGATGCAATTTATTGCGCTGCAAAAGGCGCGCCAGCAGGAATGCCGCTGCTCATAAGCATCGACGTGTCCAATAATAGCCGATTGTTGTTTACACGCATTGCCTAATGACATTTTGCCCGTGCAGAAACATCTTGATCGGCGCAGCGTGCTTTTGACGTTACGCGTCCCAGCACGGGCGGCCGCGGCAGCGTCCATGCTTGATGGGACGCGTGCCAAAAGAGCAGACAGACTCCACTCGACTACTAAATGTAAAAGCGAGACCGGCGTCCAGGAGGCCCAGATTAGCTTGAAAAGGAAGTGCTGGAAATAATTCAATTAAAAAATTATTAGTGCAAAGTAATTTGGAAAATAATCTTTCAACCCTACAAAACTTAGATAATACAGGCATAAATAAGTTTGAAATACAAATCAAAACTTTCCAAAAACATTAAAGTAACACGTTAAAATGCTTTTAAGATAAAAAGTTATTCTAAACTTATGAATGTTCAAAAGTTTTTTACTTTCTACTTCTACATTGATTGACATAAGTAAACCACTGAAATAAAAAGTGGCTCAATTTCCCAGTTTGTGTTCCGCTGAAAATAAATTTTAATTTAAAAAATGTTATAAAAGAAACACAAAATATACTTATTTAATAAAGAAAAAATACCGTTCACGTTAAAATGCCAATTTGATTAATTTTTTGTCTTATCTTTAATATTATAGTATTTATTCTTCTCAAATACAAAATTTTTTAATTGAAAATCATTGATTTCAAAATTCCACCGAATTTATTTTTGTTGGTTTGTAATTTGCTTTTGTTTTACTTAACTGATTTTTTACTTCAAACCCAAATCTTCCTCCCCGAAATTCTTTTCAATCTAAAGTGGGTTCTTCTCTTGGCGTCGAGTCCTGATTTCATTACTCTAATGGAACCGCAGCTTGCTTTTTGCGCGCGTGAATCAATTTGCAGGGGCGATTTTTGCGCCGCGTTTATATTTCGGGGTCGGCCCGGCTCGCCGACTTTGTTATTTTTTACTCGAGTCAAACTCGGTCACTGGGTTAGGGTTCACGCCGGAATATTATTTTGGGATGCGCTCGCTGGACGTCGGAGCAAAAAATGCAGTCCGTCCCCCACACGAGGCGTGCACATTATTAAATTTGCTTGCCTAATTGGAAGAGAGGCTATTTCGAGCGCGATGAAAGAAGGAATCTCGCGAGCTAATTAATCCAAAGGTGAAGCCAAAGACAACGCACAATAAAATGAGTAAATGGACTGCTAAGGTGGAAAATTGATACGTGAACAACAAACGCGTCGTTTGCGGGTGGTTGGCCATCGCCACGCAGAACGCAGGCAACCGTGAAAATTGTAGTTGACTCAATTACGCAATTGACGCACCAAGAGTAGATAATTAATCGCTGTGATTTGTTATATAATGTCATTATTTATCGTAAGATTAAAAAGGTGGGGAGTTTCAATGGAAATTTCCATTCATTTATTGACTTCGGTTGACAAAAGTCCTATAAAAATCGAAGCTCACATTATATTTCAGTTATTTATCGATGAATAGTATTTAATTTTAATTCTATTTTCTGTTAATCTTTTGAGCAACTGCCAATATTATATTTTTAAATTAAATTTTTGAGTTTATATGAAATTTAAATTTAACAAAACTCTGTCGAAAAGATAAGACAAAATTTGTTCTGTTCTTTGAATTCAACTCATAAGCTATGCTTTCGTACCTCAAATTTCAATTCACGGCAACATATTTATAAAATTACTGTTTTTCTTAAGAAATGAGCCAAATTTCCAGAGTCTTTGGATCTACTGGAAGATTTACAATAAACTTTAATAAAATTTGTTCTTTTCATAATAAAATGTAATTGCATTATTATTTCAAGAAAGTCTTATTGATGTGCGTTAATTCACCTTGTGAGCAATGCAAGTATTTCTTACTTTAATCGAATTCCGTTAAAAAATAATCACAATACAAAATGTGCACGCCTCGGAAACCATCGTCACAATAATCACTGATTGCTAATAGAACAGCGGCGGTGGTCGCCGGCTGATGTTTCGCAGCCGCGCTGAGGGTAATGAGCACCGACCAGTTTCGGGTGCCATCGCCGACGTCGCTGCAGTCCAACTTAAATGTGCCCCTGGTGGGCGCGAGTTACCTGTTCCCCTGCGAGGCAGCGCTCGTGTCGCTGTTCAACTTGTCGCCCGCCACAATCTACTGGGGCCCCTCGCCGTCCCCCGGCATGATCCCGCCGCCGCAGGACGACAACAACAACCAGCCCCCCTCCCGCGACAACTCGGCGGCGGCCGCGGCCGCCGCCAACCCTCCTGGCAACAACAACAACCGAAGCGACGAAGACGAGTCGGACGAGGCGAGTCCCCCCGCCGCCCCCCGAATCACCTACGTCCGCCGCCGGAGGCTGGAGAACACCGCTCCCCATCACAGGCGACAGGTGCGCGGAGGCGTGTGCGACAAATAAAGAGAAATGCAATTCCCTCTCAGCCTCGCGCAGCAGCATATCCTTCATAAGCAAAACTAAATGAAATTAAATTTCGAAAATATAAAAATTAAATTTGCATTTATTTGCCAAAAGGTCTGATTTTTTAAAGACACTTTAAAATTTAACAGAAATGAAAGAAGTGGTTAAAATAGTTACATTTAATTAGAATAATGGAACATTATTTTTTTTTTTAATAATTCAAGTTTTATCATGCAATTTTAATCAAATGACCTGTGGAGGTCTTAAATTATTTTAAATTGCACTCGTATTAAAATTTGTAATTTTTTCTTTTTAAGACATGCAAAAAGGATTTATTTTGAAATAAAGTTTAAATTAAAATAGAAATTCCAATCAAATTTAAGATTTAAAATTATAACAATGGCCTCCAAAGGTTAAATATTATTTTAAAAGTTGAACATTTATTTAACATTTAAAAAATCTGAAATTCAATTAAACTCGTCCTATCATGATGAAATATTTTATTAGTATTTAACTTGTACAAAATATTAAAAATTTATTTATATTTTAAATCTTCAGATCTAAATTTTGGGTGATTTGATACTTTGATTGATTGAATCGCTGAAAAATATTTGAAAAATTTTGCCCCTTTGATCCTCCCCTTCGCTTTTTATAATTTTTGAACGCTCTCCAATCGCGATTCGGTTTCGCAAGTTCGCATATCGGCGCCCGCAATAAAACGCTGGAGCTAGTGGGGCCAGAAATAAACACACTGCATGATTATAACCGCGCGCCCCATGTTGGTAAAGGGGAAATGATCAGCGGCGGCAAATACGCGTTATTCATTGCCCTCGTCAACTAAAATTTCTTCTTCAACTTCGTCTATTTCGGACCGGAGAATATTTCAAGGACGCCTATTTTTGGCGCGGTTTTTCAACCGGACTCCATCAATTAAATGGAGAGCGAGATCTGCGTGCTCTCTCTGCGGGGATGGTCCGATCTAAAGAGACCCCTGGCTTGTGTGTATCTCTGGCCATGGGTTATATATAACTGAAATAGTTGGCACCGGCGGCCGCAGAGCCATCAGCAGCGCGCGGTCCACGCAAGCGGCCTCTTCGCGGTATCTTTAGGCCCACTGGCCGCTAAAAGACCCGAAATTTATAAATGCCACCGGTTGTTGCACTTTTTCGGAAGCAGCGGCGACAAACGAGATTCACAGAGGCGTCGGCGATGCGAGATTTAAAAAAAAAATCTTGGAGAAAAGAAATCAGACGAAAGAGCAGTGGCGGCTTTTTGTACTTTTACAGCTTAAAGTCACGTGGATTGGATTATTTTAGTCGATTTTCACGCGTGGAGGTCTCGTTTTTCTCTCGCGCGTAATTCTTCATTTTCTGAATACAAACAAAACATCATTCTTCACTTTGAATCAAGTCGATGCGGGGGATAGTTTGTATTAAAAATCAAATGAAATAAACCCTATTAATTTCGGGATTTCCTATTTCACAAAATTGAATCAGACATTGGCAACTGCATGCCTTAAAAATTCCCCTATTTTAAAACTAAGTATAATTTCCATAATTTCGCAATTTTTTATTTATTCCGTCGTTCTCTCAACTTTGCAAACTGCAAACCCGTGTTCGTCAGCGTCACGAGAACGTTCTTTGCGCGTTTGCCAAAACCTAAATTTCGCACACGTTGTGCTGCAGTCACTTTTTCGCGGTGTCCGGCGTGGGTCGTCCGTCGGTTTGTGTCCGAACCTCCGTCGATCCGCCCGAAACCGCGGCGAGCGAGCGAAACAACGCGCTAAAAAAACAGACTCGGTGCTTCTACTTTTCGAGAGAGGTGTGCGTATCCTCATTTTGACCCTCGTCCACGCTCACTCACTCACTCAGTCGTCCCGCTCCCCTCCTGCTCTCGCGCCGCGGCAGCTAGGAAAATAGACTGGCGCGAGCAGCAGTTTTAGCAGCCAGTCGCGGCCAAGTAGCTCGCTCTCGGGGCCCGCGGCACCCTCAGGGCGTGATGCACACGAGGTGCTGCCAGGGTGCCCGGCTCGCAACTGGTCAGTGACCAACTCGGGGAGATGTCCCGGCGCCACCAGTACCAGAGATCGGCCACCATGTCCTCGCTGGTGGACAACGACGTCGTGCGCACCTGCACCAGTCTCATCCAAAGACTGACCACCAGGGTCCGCGGACCTTCCATGACCTCCATGCTGACCTCGTCCAACCCGGCCAACGTCTCGTCGGCGGCGGTGGCCGCGGCCGCCATCAGCAACATGGGCAGCGAACGCGCCCGTCTGGAGAATAAATACGCCGACCTGCTGGAGCGGCGGAAATTGCACGCCACAACCACCCCTCCCGCCCCCGACGCCGCCTCCAAGCTGAACGGCCGGTCCTCCAGCTCGAGGGACAGGACGCCGTACCGCCTGACGGACTACACGAAACCGGCGCCGGCCGTGGCCGCCGGCAAGTACCAGTACAAGACGCGCGCCAGGACCGGGGGCCTGCAGACCTCCGCCTCCTCCACGGCCGTGTTCCGCCCCCAGAGCCCGCCCAAAAGCATGGCCTCCTTCTACGCGAGGCCCAGTCCGCCGCCGCTGGCCGTCACCAAGCGGCGGCAGTACTCGGGGGCGGGCGGCCGCCAGAGTCTGCAGATGGAGCCGGTGAGTCGCGCCAAGATGGTTTTGTCCAACTACGAGGAGCACCTGAACGGGGTCGCGCGGCCCCCCGATCGCAGTGCCCGCTCCAAGTACCACGAGTACGAGGCCAACAGCGGCCGCGGCGGATACTTTTCGCGCACCGTCGACGAACCGCCCAAGTACCGGCAGACGTCGGAGGCGGCTCGTTACCCCGCCAACCTGGCCACCTCCAAGAGCTGCCACAACTTCGGCTTCGGCGCGCGCCACCACCTGAACAAGGCAGGCTTGACAAGTTTGTTTGGGTCTTTTGCGCACTTAATCGGCAGTGTTGTTGCTAGACACGCATCACGCGAGTCTTTCGGTGAAAATGGGGTTGCCAATTAAACTAGAAATTCCCGCAGTAAAAGTTGTTTACTTTGTATTCAGTTTCTTGTTAAGAAATTTTCTGTTAATTGGGTTAAATTTAATTAAAATTATAAAATATTAAAATTTTTAATTAATTCAAACTTGATTTTATGGCTAATTTGTTTAAATTTCAAAAGAAGCAATCATTCAGCTGTTTTATTAGAAACAATTTCAATTCAATTTATTTTTCTCCAAACAAGTCAGTACAATCAATTGTGAAAAAAAAATGGTTGAACTTATCAAACAAATTTTTAATTTTTGGGTGTTTTTTTTTTAAATCTATTTTAAATATGATTGAAACATTAATTTCCAACCGGTAAACAGTCCTTTCTTATCAAAAAAACTAGTGGATCTTAAAAATTTCAATCTTTAATTTTCTAAACAAGGATGTCTTACAAAAAACAGTGTATAGTGGATCTAGTAGCGAAGCTTCGTTTTTACTGCGTATAATTCGCTTTTCGCTTCTAACTCGTCGCGCTTTTCCGTGTGTAGAGCGGAGCATCTGCCAACTAGATTTTTCAAAGCTCAATGGAGGTTATTTACTTCTGGCCACATTTACCAGTACATGTGTTTCAACAGCCAGTGTCATCTTTTGGCAAGCACTTTTAAACCCGGCTCGAATTGACGCGATGATTGGATGGCTTTTTCTAACCGCGAATTTCCTCCAAAGCGTTTTAAAACGAACAGTGATGCTGGTTAAAAATATCAGAGTCTGCAATTTGAAAGTTGATCTTTGCAGCTATTTTCATTTTCAAGTTGTAATGTAGAAATTCAAATCAAATTAAATCCTTTAATTATTTTATTAAAATTTAAGAAGTAAAAAATTTAATAACAAATATAAGAAACAATTTTTATGTAAAAAATATATATTTAATTAAAAATGCTGCAAATTCAATCATTTAAATAATCGCAAACTCTTTCATTAAATCATAAAAAGTCGATTTCTTGCGCAAAAGTCCCTTCAACGAGTTATTTTATTTTGTTGTTAATTTGTTCGTTGGATCGTTTCTAACGTTGAACCGTGCAGGAGGGTTCGCGGGACAGCTCGACGCTGGAGCGGGACGTGGAGCCCGTGTTGTCCAAGTCCAAGTCAAAGCCGCGCAAGGACATTGACTCGCTGCTGCTCAAGTACTCGATCATCGACGACGCGTACTCGGGCAAAGTGAACGTGCACAACCCGTACGCGTTGGGTTCGACGGGCTCGCCGAAGCGCTACGTGAGCAAGTACGTGGCCCCGCCGGTGGTGCCCGCGGCCGCCCCGCGCCTCCACGACCCCATCCCCCTGTCCCCCATCAGCAAACCGTTGATTCAAACGCCGAAATTCACTTTCCGTAACACGACCACTAGCTTCCGCGTGAGTATCAGAATTGCCAAAAAATTTAAAAAAACTTTCTTAAAATCTCATGCGAGATGAGAGCGTGTACCAGTTTTGAAAAAAGGATGTGCTGCTGCCAAAGTGTGACTCACTGGTGCATTCGGCCCCCTCCTTGTGTGTGTTGCGCAACCAGCGGAATAACCCTTTGCTTTGCCTAATTTCTCTCCACCCAGACTTTGCGATTTCGCTTTCAAACCCGGTGCAAACTTTGAAGGTCAAAGTGTAATTCGCTTTTAATAACGTAAAGGAAGTCGTTTGAAATTCATTTTTAATTTGTTCTATTTTTACTATGATGCGTCTGTTGAAATTCTCCAATGCTATTTAGAATTGTTGAAAGATTGTGTAAATGTTTGCACGTGTTTTCGAAGATAATTTATTTTCTCAATCTTTCATCCGCCGCTAGCAAATCTAGTTTTCTTTTTGTTCATAGTTTGGTACAAATTTGCCCACAGGTAATTTTCATTTCAAATTCATTTCTGAAAAATACAAAATTCAATAATATATTATTCAAAAGATTTTGGCTTTTGATATATTTTATAAATAATTTTAATTTTTTTAAATTTTTTTACACCACCTCAGCAAAGGAGTTGAATGAAAGTTTTTTATTTATTTTAGAAACAAGTTCTGGAAATTAATCTTATGGAACACTATTTAATTATTACTAAAAAAAAAAAACTCACAAGCCAAATAACTAAAGACTGTTGCTAGCTTTTTTATGACGAAACGTTTTAAAAATTATATATTTCATATTAAGTTGATTACTTTAAAATTAAATAAGAAAAAAAAATTTATTTTTGATAATAATTTATTTTCATCACAAAAATTACCCAACCATTCAGGCTTCTTTTCAAACCTTCACTGAAATTATAAAATGAATTTTGATCTCCCTTGTATAAATTGCTGCATGAACTTGTTGAACTTACTTTTGATCCAAAATCAATGAAACAACAAAATTAACGCATCTGTCTGACGTTAGCCATTCGCTTTCAAACTAAACCATTCCCGAAAATTGTAAGTATACACCTTCCCGAAACTAACCTCCCTAACCACACATTTTTTTCCACCAATTGAGATCATAATATAATCTTATATGAATAATAATTAAATGTCTTTGCCCCTTTTTGCCCGAACAAACCCCCATTCTTAATCTCTCTCAGTCTCTCCTCCAATGTATCTACAGTGTATATTTTTTTGTTTGTTTCTTCATATCAAATACTCGATACTCGAACACTGCTCGAAATCCGCCCTGCTGCGCGCTCTTTGCCTCGTCGTTGGACCCGAACGAATTGTGTCCGCTTTCCCTGTCCCGCTCGGTCCTCCTGGTGCTGTGGCCGGACGACCTTTGACGCCGCTGGGGGTGTGTGTGGTGGGTGCCTCTGTCCTGCTGTGCCGAACTCACAGTCGACACCTACCCAGGACGATGATGAAGGACACCTTATTTACCGGCACGGAGACTCTCTTCAGCACCGCTGTTCGTGAATAAGAATAATTTTAACTTTTAAGAAAAACAAAAACAAAATCTCTGTCAATTTTTTTGCTACTTCTCTTTCTTAAAACTCTCCACGCAATCAAAACACGGACGGAGCCCCCTCCGTGCTTTGACCAAGTTCTCACATAGGCCCTTGTTCACACTGTTATTGCGGGCCCGATTTTCGTCAAAGTGACCCCAGTAAAATGAAATCTCTTTCTTTCTTTCGCTCTGGAGAAGCCGACGCGAGTTGAGTCGGTTTTGGAAAGAGCTGTTTGCGCCCTCCACCTTTTTGCAACCGCTGACAAAAGTCAACAACTGAAACTAATGCCAGTTGTTCTTCTTTGCAGACCGAATCGTGGCCACCCTAGGCGAGGGCACGTTTGGCAAGGTCGTGAAGATCAAAGATATGGACAGGTAATTTTTTCAATCTAAATTACATATTAAATCTACATTTTTTTCCTATTTCAAATGTATTTAACTAAGATGATGGTACATATTTTTCATTCTTTAGAATTAGAATTTTTTCCTATAATTTTTTACTTCCAAGTAAAGCGGGAATTTAGCACCTTTTAAGTTGGTGCCTTAAATAATGATTTATTGTTTATGTATTTTTCTCATTAATTGTTGCATAATTTTAAATAATTATTTTTTTTTTCAAACAGAAATGACAGACTCTTTGCGCTGAAGATCATAAAAAATGTGGAAAAATACAGAGAGGCGGCCAAGCTGGAAATCAACGCTTTGGAAAAAATCGCCGAGAAGGACCCGACCGGCAGACAGTGAGTCACTCGCCAATCAAACCCAAATCCACTCTTTGATTATTATAATTTTTTATTCTTCTCGGTCAATAAAAAATTTTTATGTTTGGCTTCTTTACTTTTTTGCAGCTTGTGCGTCCAAATGACGCAGTGGTTCGACTACCACGGTCACATTTGCCTCGGATTCGAGATGCTGGGACTGAGTGTCTTCGACTTCCTGGTAAGAGTTCAACAAACCAAAAGAAACAAATAATTGTTTATTGACACTGGGGTGTGTTTATAGAAAGACAACCAGTACCAGCCGTACCCGATGGATCAAGTCCAGCACATTGGCTACCAGTTGTGTTACGCCGTCAAGTTCCTGCACGATAATAGACTAACTCACACTGATCTGAAACCAGAGAACATTCTCTTTGTAGACTCTGACTACGATGTCACATACAACGCGAAAAAGGTGACCGAATTCTGATTCTGTTTGAAATTTGTTAATAAGAATTAATTAAGAAGCGAGATGTGCGTCGCGTGAAAAAGAGTGACGTCCGCCTTATTGACTTCGGAAGCGCCACTTTCGATCATGAGCACCACAGCACCATTGTCAGCACTCGGCACTACCGATCACCAGAAGTTATTTTAGGTAAATATTGCAATAAATAGAATTATAAAAAAAACAAGATTACTCAATATTTATATTTATTCATGCTAATTATTATTTAAAGAAAAAAAAATTAAAATAAAACATGACATGTGAAATTAGCACCTTTATTTTTTATTTCCCCATTTTTTTTTTTTAACTTATTTTAATTCCTCAGAAAGAGTTTTTTTAATGCTTAATTTTTTTCAGAGTTGGGCTGGTCTCAACCTTGTGATGTGTGGTCCATTGGCTGCATCCTTTTCGAGTTGTACCTGGGCATTACTCTGTTCCAAACACATGACAACAGAGAGCACTTAGCCATGATGGAGAGAATCCTTGGGCCTATACCTTATAGGTAAGTTTATCCATATTAGGCATTTGTTTAATTCTGCAAAATTCTTTTGATTATGTTTTGAAATAATTTATCAACCTTCTTATTTAATCAATTAATTAATTTTATTATGATTAAATATTAATAAATTGTTTAATTTTTTTTCCATGCTTTTAATTGAAAAATTTATTTTAACAGGATGGCCAGAAAAACGAAGACAAAGTATTTCTATCACGGAAAACTTGACTGGGACGAAAGAAGTTCTGCTGGACGCTATGTCAGAGAAAACTGTAAACCTCTGCATGTAAGTGTCCAATCCCAATTAATTCATTCCTCTTTGTTCTTCAACAATAATTTCTGTTTGCAGCGCTACCAGATGACCGAAGAGGAGCAGCACGTGGCTCTGTTTGACTTGATCTCTCGCATGCTCGAGTACGAGCCCTCGAACCGCATTACCCTGGGTGAAGCCCTGGACCACACCTTCTTCTCCTACCTGCCGCCAGAGAAGATTCTGCACATGCAGGTGGGCAACGAATCTTGACCTCTACTTCAGCACTTTTGTTACACATCGCTTTCACTTCTTTGTTGGGAATAAAGTATTGTTGTCTTTTCATTCATTTACTCGGAGGCTGCTTTTGTTATTTCATCCTATCTCTCATCTCTCTCTCTCTGTCGTGTCATCTCAGTGTTTGCACCATCTCTATTTCGGTGTTGGCTAGTCCTTGGTGTTTAGTCGTGTAGTTAGCTAAATTTGTGCATTATTTGATCTCACCTGGCCGCCCGCCAACTGATCAATCCAATCTGGCCCAAGATTGGCCGCTGCCAAATAGAATAAAATTTATATTAGATCAATAGCTAGCCGGCCCAGACTTTGTTTTGGCTTCTTCTTTGTCTCTCTTTGCATGATTATTTTTGTAGAAATAAATTTTTGCATGAAAATATTTAATTAAAATTATTTCCCATCTCCAATGTAGCTTCGTTTTAGTTAATTTCAAATTACAATTAAATTTTGACTTAATTTGCAGAGTGAGACTAATTGTAAACAAAAATCCCTTTCAGGACAGGAAGCGTGCAGCTTCACCGAAGAGTGACAGCGAGGAACGAGAGAGAAGCCACTCGTTGTCCCGGTGACGTCGTAAAGAGCGATTCATCGAGACTCCGTCTTACCACCCACCGGACAATGTCTACCAGCCCGACTATAGCGTTCCCGCCTGCTGGTGGTAGCCTTTGTGGTGGCCTCAACGCAACCGATAAATAAAAATGATGGTTTTGAGCACAATTTTAGTCAAACCATATTGCTGTACTTATGGGAGAGTTTGTTCGTAATTATTATTGTACTCGTTAAAAAGAAGCAGTTCCATCTTTGCTTCCCTAGACTTTTGCTTGTAACTCAGCTGTTGACATGTATCATAGTTTTATTTTTAGTGATGACCACAACTTGATTGTTTTGGTCGGATATTTTTTAAGAAAACTCGTAAAATGTTGATTATTCACTTGCGAATAATGAGATGAGCTGTGAACGAATTCGTAATGAACCGCAGCATTGGTTCACTTCTTGCGTTAATTTAATTATTAAACTCAAAATGATGTAGCTTTTGTTTGTACATAGATCCACCTTCCAAATATTGACTAACCAGACGCTCCTGATTTTGTTCCACATATCACGCAACGAATTAGGCTGAGGTTACTTATAATTTTAACTCTCAAAGCTTCTTAGCTTGTTACATAGCTTGTGTATACTGCAGTCAATCAATAAAAATCAATCCAATAAAATTAAAAAAAGGCATTTTATTTGAGATCCAATTATAAATTAAACTTGGATGTTTGCTTTCCTTAGAGTCAAGTAGCCGGTGACTATGTCGTTGGGCAGAGATCTTATTGTAGAGAACTCTGCTGAAGTTGAATATCGAAGTTTTGTCTGGGGATCAGTGTATTTTGCCTGGAAGGAATAAAATTCATTAATTTGGTCGTAATTTAAATGATTTTGAGTCTTACTAAGAATCCTAAGATGTCCGAGTACTTTTTTGCTGGTTTGAATGACGGAGGCGCTTCAATGGCACTGTCTGGAATTTAAAAGATACAAATTTAAATAAACTTCTCATTTCATTAAAAAGTAAAATAATAACTTACAGTGAACACATCCTTCTGGCATCGGCTGAGTTCTCTCCTGAGCAATAATTTGCTTCAGAGATTTCCAGGCTTTCTTTTTGTTCGATGTTTTGCTCATGTGCTGCAAAAGTAAACAAACCTTATAAAAACTGCCACTTTTTTCTCTTATAGTGTCATGCCTGGAATGTTTTTGACTTGAACACAGGCTTCTTGCCTTCCGCCTTCAACTCGTCGTCGTTCAGAGCAGAAAATGGAACAGGGCTGGGCGCCGAAGAACCAGGAAGACTTTCAACGCCTTCAACCTGCAGGTTAATTAAATGATCAATGAATTAAATGCAACGACGAAGGCATAAAAAAGGCTCTTTAAAATTAACAACTTACGCCAGGGCCAATTGATTTTTTCTTGCTGACCATTTTGAGAGTTCCGAGGTGATTTTGCAGATCAAGATTTTTCAGTTTCCTTTATGAATATTAAAATGATTTAAATTATAGTGTTGAGTTAAATTAAATAAATTAAACCTTTCAAATCCGAAATCAGAAGACAAGTTTCCTCCTTGCAAGTTTCATTGTTTGTTTTGGTTTTGTTTCCGTTCATTTCCGCATCGTGGCGCTGTGGTCTGTGGTGTGGATATTTTTTTGCACGAAAAGGAGGGAAATGCATGTGACCATACCAAACTTTATAAAGAACATTGAAGCTGAACTTATTATAAATTATAATCATTAATGTTGTAAAATTCAAGCAGAGTTAAAATCTGGTGAAATCGAAATAAATCAATTTATTGTTTGAGAAATTTTGTATGCGAGACTTTTTTCCATTAATTGACAGGAGTAAATTTAGAACCAGGAAGAAAATTCAACAACATTTCCTTATTGTTTTGCAACGTACAAAGAAAAAAAATTTTGTGTGGGTAATTCAGTTAACTGCTGCTTGATGCAAATTTAGTCCACTGGGCATCACTCGTCCGTGCCTATTTTGTTACAGTGTGGATTTAAAAAAGCTTTTCACGGTGCGCGGCTCTGTGTGCTTTATCTTTATTCATTTTCTCGCCTAGTTGGTTGAAAATTCACAAACAGGTATTTTAGTCCAAAGAATGAACACATTAAATATTGCCAGTGTATTTTACAGGCTTAGCAAAAAAGGCGTCCATAAATTCAGCACGTTCAATTAAAGTGACCTTGGAGTTCAAGAAAAAAAACAATGGGTGGCGTTAAAAAACTCCTGTAAGAACGGGAAGAGGAAAGCTTAAAAAATTTATATTTAAAAATAAAAAATAAAATACAAGACGCACTTGAGGCCAGCAACTTTTTAGAAGGGAGGAAATAATAATTCAAATCGAAGCGAAAAAAAAATACTAAAATGAATTTTACAAAAGGAGATTCAATAATTTATTTTATCATTTCAAATAAATTAAATAAATATTAAATAAGAAGTTCCAAAAATTATTCCAAAACAGTCAGTTCATCCTCGGTGGGCATCACGATGTCCTCCTCCTCGACCAGTGTCTCCTCCTCCTTGGGCTGAATTATTTCCTTTTCTTCCTTAGGGGCGGGTTGGGCGGTGGTGGTGGAAGGACGATTCTTGGCCTCAACGAGTTCGTCCTCATCCTCCTCCTTGGGGTACTTGTTGTAGTTATTGTAGTTGTTGTAACCCGGGCCGTAATTGTTGACCGGCTTCTTGTAGGGAGCGACGGTTGGTTTCGGTACTTCGTAGTTGCTCACAACCGGTTTCTGACCATAGGATGCTGGTTTCTGGTCATAAGTTGAAGGTTTGTAGTCATAGGATGATGGTCTCTGGTCATAGGTCGAAGGTTTTTGGTCATAAATTGCTGGTTTCTGGTCATAAGTTGAAGGTTTGTAGTCGTAGGATGATGGTCTCTGGTCATAGGTCGAGGGTTTTTGGTCATGGGTGGAAGGCTTGTGGTCGTAAGTTGCCGCCGGTTTGTGTTCATCGTACTCGGTGTGGTGCTCGTAGTGGCTCTCAGTGGTTGCTTCCGGTTTGTGGACAGTGGAACCGTGGTGGTAGGAGTAGTCATTGGTAGGGTGGCTCACCCCGTGCTGGTAGTTGACCTGGCCAGGGTACTGGTGACCGGTGTGACCGGCGTAGTAATTGTTCTCGTAGTTGTAGTGAGGGAGATGGGGGTTGGTGTACTGGAATTTGCTGGGGTAGTGTTGCGGTTTTGGGGTCGTGGTGGTGGTGGTGGTGTAGTATGGCTTGTAGGTGGGTTTGTACGTGGGCTCGGGGGTGGTCGTGTACTTCTGCACCGTGTAGAAGGGCTGCACGACGATGGGCTTCTTGGGCCAGAAAGTCTTGTAATCGTAGCCGTTCTGGTAGTAGTCGGGCTTTACCGTCTGGTGGTGGTAGTAGTGCTGGTGAGGCGCCGTCGTCGTCGTCTCGTAGTGGTGCAGTGGAACCTTGTACGTGGTGTACTGCAATTATTTTAAAGGAAGAATTTTAATTTCAAATATATTATTATGAGATGGGACACATAAAGAAATATAAGAGGCGCGAAAAAAAACTCATTGATTCTTAATTTTAAATAAGTTTGATGTTATGAAGCGATATAATTTGTAAAATATTTATAAATTAACTCCAGTTAAAAATCTCAAATGATCAAGTATATTGGCATGTTCATAAAATCTGAAATCTTTTTCAAATAATAACAAAATTATAGACCAATCGTAACTTACCTCTGGTTTCGGGTAGTGGTAGTACTGCTGGGGACGCTGGGGTGCATAATAGTTGGCCTGAACAAGGCAAAGCCCTGCCAGCAAAAGTGCTGCAGTGAACTGAAAAAAAAAAATCGAAAACAGATTATTATTTAAAAAAAGAAAAATACCATTATCTTGCAGCAAGCAATCGATGATTAACACGCATTAATATTAATTTTCAGCAATTGTATTAAAATAGAAGAAAAAGAAATAAAAATGATTTCAACTATAATATTCATTAGCTATAAAGCAAAACTATTAATTTTTATAACACAAAAATATTTCAATAAAATTTATGTATCGAGATCAAAAATTAAAATTTTAAATTTCTTTAAAATTGAAGAAAAATGAAATAAAGAGTATATTTGATTCTTACCATCATTGTCGGTGGTTGCCTGTCAAATAATGAAGGTGTCTAACTGAGGGTCCCTTTATAGGTGCACTCGAGTGCATTCCTAGCGGCCCACGCATTATCGGCATTTAATTAATTGTTATTTCAATTTATCCTAATTTGCCTGACGCGCCATCCTTCTAGTTTCACTTGCGCACTTTTCTATTTCTGGAGCGTTCTTTGTACATTTTCAGACTATTTAGTTACATAATAAATTTATTAGTTATAAGTAATACTAATATTAAAAGATTTGACAGCTTAATAAAGTTTATTAAACCATTCTTTTTTTTCCGGAGTTCTTTTTTCTATTATTTTTTTATTAGTATTAAATATGACTTGGTTTTAATCATTTTTGTCATTATTTATTATTCAATGTGCGCTATGTTTAATTTCTAATAAATTAGGAAAAATATTTATAAAATATTTTTTTGCCATTAATGCAATGATTAAATGTTAGAGAGTACTAAATTTACTCTCACAATTTGGAGGGCTTTTTCTGATGAATTTGTAGCACTAATAATTGTAATAATCAATTTTTCATGATTTCGTTCTTCAAAATTACGTACAAGAAATAGAAAAATGAATATGAATGACTCTGTTGAGAATTATTTAAAATTTCTCCACAAGATTTGAGTAATTAAATTAGTGATGCAAAAGATCTCATATTAAATGAAAAATCAACCCTTATCCTCTTATCTAATTCTGGACCAATCATGCAGTATTTTATATTATTTAATTTTTTTTGTGTATTGACTCGCATTGACTTGACGTAAGATGTTGTGTATTTCATGTATCTGAATGGAAAATAAATAAATATGTTTCTATTAAAAAAATAAAACAGTTAAGCAGCCAAAAGTTTCTGTGGAAAAAATTACTTTGCTTGAATATTATTATGCGTGGGAACAAACAAGTCACACACGCGAGGGAGCGGATTAAAAATAGAGGCGAATGGCCTGAGGTGATGAACTTGATTGAGTCGAGCTGGTGACCTTTGGCAGGTGCCGGAGAATGGTCGCCCTTGCGCCCGCCGCACGAGGAAATGAACCGCAAGGAGCACAAATAATCGCGATTTTAAATAAGCACTTTGTCTTACGTAAGTCCGCGACGATCTGAAAGAGTGGTCAATGACAATGCACACGCGGCTTGAAAATTATAAATTATATCTCACTTTGGAACAAAACAACAGTATTATTATGCCCGTTATAATATGCTCACAGGTGAATTTGAGGTCATTCAAAAGGAAAGATTGAGTGCAAATTTTCACGATTTATATTTACCTTCATTGACAGGTTCTATGATTAGTTAAAAGAAAGGAAAAGACAAAAAGACCTTTACTTTACCAACGAAGGTTTTTTAGTGACAGATTTGATTAAAAATATGAAATAAAAATAATCATAAAAAATTACAAAATCCTGATTAAAAGTCAACCTAAGCTCGCAATGCGGCGGATGTGGTCTTATTTTATTTTAGTAAAACATTATTCATATTATTGCTAGTGGTGGTGTCTTTTTGTTGAACAATGCCCTTTCTTTAAATAATTTTTTTCAATAATTAAATGCATAATCGTAAGAAATATGAATTTTTTTTACAAAAATGTCAAAGACTCGATGTTTCATTTTTTTTAATGGTCAAAAAAAGAAGATAATAAACTTCCGGCCGCAAAGGGTTTCCAGATTCCACGTTTACGTCTTTTCATTGCCCACAAAAATTACCAAGACTTCACCGCTTCCGGTTTGTCTTATTTTTAAGATTTAAAATAACGAGAAAATAAAATTAATCAAAATTTCACGGAGACTAGATATAAAGGAATCTGGATTTTACTTTAAGTTTTGATCACCGTCTTCAGCTTTATTTCATGAGGACAAAAATATTTAGGTGAAGTTGCAAAACTAAAAATTTGTGATAAATTAGTATAATTTTTTTTTCTTTTCTGGATAAGGTTTGCTGCACGATTTAGACGTTAATGGCGTTCTGTTATTGAATGGAAATTTAAAAATAAAAAATCTCTAAAAATTGGAATTATTTCAAATCCAAAATCTTAACCAATTTCAAATACACGCCTATTTTATTATCATTAATAAATCGACGCACTTTTCAGGAATATATAAATATGACATAATGCTGGGCATACTTGTATTTGTGTGTGATTTATTTAAGTTTATAATGCATCTCCTTCTTTACAGGCCGATTTTTTCCCTTATAGAGCCGCAGACCGTCACACAAATTTTTGTAAAAATAAAAAATATTAAATAAAAAACTTCAACGGACTAGCCAGTGATTCTCTTCATGATTGCCTTAACAAAAGTGATCACAATTTAAAAATTTATATTCAATAAGCAAGGCCAAATTTCTTAATTTTCAAGTATAAATTTGAAAATGTAATTGATGCAAAAATTCATTAGGTATTTTTTATAGCAGTGGCTGTTTTCTGATTTGGACATGCTACTTGTTTGATTGCCAAGCACAAACAAACAAGATGCGAAATAAATAATTATATGGGTCAAGAGAGTGC